CCCCAAAACCCCAAAACCCCAAAACCCCAAAACCCCTTTGGAAAGACTTGGTGTTGAATTGATGTAAAATTATTCTTCGTCCTGGCTTGCGATATTGAATGTGGTCTCGAACATTGTTGCTCCTATAAAATATTACTTTAGAACAAACAAAAGAAGATACATAATGCAACTCTTGACTCAACATATTTTGTAACTTACTAATACTCAATCTCTTCTCAGCATCCTCTACATCTCCAATCTTTCTCTTAATCCTGTCATGATCAAAATAAAGTCCATTTACCTCAAAACAAATTTTCATTCCCTTCTTAGTCAGGCTTGATCTTAAAGCAGCACCAAGAATGTTCCCTGCCATGTCATAAATTCCTTCTATCAGGTATGACTCTTGAGAGCACTCGTAGAAGGTGAGTTCTTGTAGTCTAACCACCTTGGGATTACCGAAGTCCAGTTTGGCAGTCTGAAGGATACACTCAGAGATTATGACCTTCTCAGCATTCCTCGCTGAGAGGAGGATCCTCTTCAAGTAATAAGCTGAGATTGATAAGCCGAAGAGAGTTACAGAATTCGTCACAAAGGAAAGGGATTTCAGAAGGAAGGAGTGGTGTTTCTGGAATTTACAGCAAGGAATCTCATCAAGGCGAAGGGAAAATTCCTTTAATTTAACACATTTATCAAAGAAAGTTTTGACCTTCTTCTCATTCTTATTGCCAAGATGAGTAACTTGGGCTTTATCAACTGGAGCCGGGATCTTTGCTTTCTCGTACAAGTCTAATATTCGCATCCCTTCTGCTGCACTTGAGTCACTATATTCAATAGTGAGGGTTCCTTCAGAGATGGGGTTGGCCACGAAGCTGAATTTGTCAGTGATGCTGCCTGATAAGACAGAGATGTTGAGGGGTTGTTCTAGGAGGAGGAGGGTTTGGTCGGTGAGTGGTTGGGCTAGCATTTTTGGAGAATTTTTAATTAATTTAAGAGGGGTTTATATGTGCTGGGGTTTTGGGGTTTTGGGGTTTTGGGG